ATTGGCCATGCTAAATTGCGTATAGTCTCCAAAGATGTGCAGGTTAGGGTGGATTGGCCATTCTAAATATCGTATACTGTCCAAAGATGTGCAGGTTAGGGTGGATTGGCCATGCTAAATTGCATATAGTGTCCAAAGATGCGCAGGTTAGGGTGGATTGGCCATGTTAATTGCCCATAGTGACCAGGGATATGAAGGCTAGTTAGGTTAGCCATGGGAAATGCAGGGTTACAGGGATAGGGTCTGAGCAGGATGCTCTTCAGAGGGTTGATGTGGACTCAACAGGCTGAATGGCCTGCTTTCACGTTATAGGGACTATATGATTTGCTTGCCAACATCATAATTTCCTAAGTGGCAGTGTCCTGACCTTGAGTGAGATGCCCCAGCTCCCGGGCATCCTCTGCTTGTATGGTGCATCCAGGCTCCAAGCCTTGGGCTTCCCAGAAGTCAAAGCTCAAAACAAGGGCCAAAGGAATGAAGGGAGTGGCGACTCGGGACAAGGTGGCAACAGTGAGGAGAGAATTACAGACAGAGGGAATGAAAAGAAATGAAATTAAGTGCAGAGAACAGAGCAGAAGTGGGAACAAAACCTAGTGAGTGGCACAGTGGTTTGGTGGTTAGCAATGCTGCCTCACAGCGCCAGGGACCTGGCTTCAATCCCACCCTCAGATGACTATCTGTGTGGAGTTTGCACCTTCTCCCCGTGTCTGTGTGGGACCCCTCTGGGTTCTCTGTTTTCCTCCCACAGTCCAAAGATGTGCAGGTCAGGTGGATTGGCCATGGGAAATGCGGGGTTTCACGGTAGGATGGTGGGTCTGGTGGGATGTTCTTCAGAGAGTCAGTGTAAACTCAATGGGCCGAATGGCCCACTTCCACTCTGTAGAATTCTATGAGAACACTGCTGGGCAGACAGAAGGAACTACACACAGTCTTTGACCATGAGAAATAATGTCAGGCAATCATAAAGACTTATTAAGAACTTCTAATGTTGAACAATTCCACTTGGCATTTTATCTGCAAAAAAATTCATGTTTTGTTCTGTCACGGAGCCAAAACTAATAAAAGGAAAGGGTTTGGCACTGGAAACAAAGACTGACAAAAATATCGTCACGTGTGCACTTGGTCAGGGACTTTACTTCCGGCTCTCGGACAACGGAACTGAAGCATAACTTCAGAAACATTTGGGCAAAGAGGGAAGACAGTGTGCGAACAGCCCAACCTTCCAAACCCTGGGTGGATTTGAAGTGACGGCCAGTGTCTGAGTTGGCAATATTGCGTTTGTAAGACCCCGGGAGCTCCCTCATCACTGCAATGATCCAAAAGGTAAAATCACAGCTGTCCCAAAAAACTGTAGGGCTGCTCTCTCATTAGAGAGAGAGAGGCAACTGGTGGTGGTTTAACCTGAGGGTCACCACACCTCAGGTGAGGGGAGAGGTTGAGAAGGAGAGAGCTTCATGGTAACCCCAGCTGGTTTGGGAATTGTACACACGCTGTTGGCATCACTCTGCATTGCAAACCAGCCTTCCAGCCAACTGAGTTAACTAACCCCCTCATCCATCAGGTACCACTAAGTGACTGCAGCAAACTCAGCACTTCATCAAACTCAAATGATACAATGGCACCTGACTGTGGTACCAAAGAGTGAGCAAGACCTGATGTGAGCTAGGGCATGGCAGCTTGAGTAGTTTTGGATGATCTCAAGTTTTGTGAAGTGTGCAACCAATCAGGACAGACTAATCCAGTCCAGAAGAATTCAAAATATTGGAATAAGAATGTCAGCAGATGATCTGACTTAAATAACTCCACAGAGACCAGTATCCAGTCACTGAGTCACCCTTTATTTACATCTGCACAGTACATGGCCTCTGACCAGCTAGCTCAGAGCCAGTCCCTAGGATGAGGAGACTCTCTGAATCTCCTGTTTATATCTGTCAGCCAGGGCTCCCTGATTGGCCCAGGTTAACAGCCCCAATCAGGGAACTCATAGTCAATGAGATCCACCTGGCCCTCGCTGTAATCACTGCAGAGACAGAGGTGGGCAGTGATATGGAGATGGAAATCCAAGGGAGTGTGTGAATGTGAGATTTGTAGCTTGTGTTGCAGTCAAGTATGAAAAACAAGGACTCAAATAATTATTCCACCTCAGACAGTCGTCAGGGAGAGTTGAATGAAGTTGGGTGTCTATGGGACACAGAGACTGAAGTCAATGGCTTCAGTTCACCCCAGTAGTGAATTGGGCAGATTGCTGTTCAAACGAAGAGTTAGACAATTTAGCAAAGGAGGAGGAGCGACCAGATACGGTGGTGAAGTGGAGCTGGGTGTACATGCAAAAACTAAGGCTGTGTTTTCCGGTGATGTGACCGAGGGGCAGCATGTGGATGGGAAATAAACGAGTGCGGACGGGCCAAAGTTAGAGGTTGGAAGAATGCCAGAGGAGACAGTGAGGGGTCAGAAAGAGAAGCCATCGTTGGTGTTTCTCTGGCGATGATTAATGAGCTAAGAATGAAAGCCAGTGAGAGCAGTCGCAGTCCAACCAAGCTGGCCTGCAGTGAAGAGGTGTGGGAGAAAAATGGCAGGGTCACCAGGTCAAAGGCTGGGACAGATGGTTCACCACTGTCATCAAACATATCACCTGTGACTTCGATAAGGTTCAGTAGCAGGGCTGGAAACTCAGTTGCCACACATTGCCACACAAGGAAGTGGAGGATGGAGACTGAGGGGTGGTTTGCAAGAATGAAGGAATCAAGGGTTGGTTTTATGAGGAGAACAGTGATGAGAGCAGGTCTTCCCTATAGTATTATGTGATCTTATCCTCTCTGAGAGAGCAGGTAAAGCCATCTACTCCAAAAGGAATATTACATCAGGAAATGCACAGTGTAGATGGACTGAGATGGATCCTGTATCTGTGATTGGTGGAGGCAGGCACTGCTCAGACTGATGGAAGGCAATGTCATCACTCACTCCTGGATCTCGTGTCCAGCTCTGGGAAAGTGTGCCAACGCTCCTCAAGTTCTGATGCTCAGGAAGGTCAGTGGACAACTTTAGGTGAGAAATGGGAGTTCAGAGAATTCCGTGTCAATGGAGTGTTGTGTTTGAGAAGGTTAGAATCTCCATTGTCTCCGAGCTTAGACCCCATGAATGACTGGTGAGAGACTGTTTGGACAAGGCTCAGCTCACAGGTCATCAGTGGAATGTGGGATTATTGTAGATAGGTCAGAGCAGACTCAATGGGCCGAAAGGCCACTTCTGTGCTGTGTGTCTCTAAAATATCTTATTGGCATTCAACAGTAGAAATGTTTAGTCAGAGAAGGAACATCAGCAGGATTTCAAGTCTAATCGTGTCCCACGTTCCATCCCAAAGTGCAGCTCCCCACACACAGTTGCTCTGTCCCAAAGCCAGACACTCACCCAATAATTAAACCCCACTCACACAGTCTGGGGACATATTCAGATACTCACATCATCTGTGCCCAGGCACACTTGGGATAAGATATCGTGAACTTCTGCCATTTTGTCTACAGAACAATCTAGGTTGGAGAAAGAATCGAAAGATCAAGAGTTTTCAACATGATATGTCCCAGAATGAAGTGAATTTAACAAGCTTTCTCTCTTCACCAGTCAGTCTCATATTGGTGAATCATTAACTTCCTCTCCTGCTCCACTGCTGGTGGGGCTGGAGGAGAAACAGCTAACTCATTGCCAAACTTCTGCCTCATTCTGGAAAGAGTGAATCACACTCACAAACAGCAGAGCCAGACTGGGAGATTTCCATCTCTTTTCTGAAACGCTCCTGCTGCTGCTCAGCAAACATTGCACAGAGTGCGATCCAATCGCCTTTTAGAATCTGCAGGCTAAGTAAAACTCTAAGACAATGAAAGTTACATTGTTCCAAAGTGTGTGAGTCAAATTACTTGGAACTCTGAGATTGCTGTGTGAACAAGCAGAGGCACAGATGAAGATTTATACTAGCACAAGCATTCTGCAAACACTCCCTTATTACACAGGCAGAATGGAATGTGTCTGTGGGTACAATTCCTCTAAAACCATAGCAACGTTTAAACTGAAAAGTTCAACTGTTACTGGCAGAGCCTGCTGGCAGAACACATGAACATTAGAAACTGAACTAAACAACAGACAGCAGGATGGGCCAAACTACACTTGAGGCCAAATCACAATCCCCCCGTTAAAATCAAATCAAATATCTAAGAATCAATGAATGGAGCAGGACAAACACACTTCAATCTGAAGTTGAGAAAAAGACCAAATGCACTACGTTGTGCTGCTAATTCTGAGCTTGGAAGAGTATGGAACTTAGACAAAATAACAAAGGAAGCTGTTTTTTGCTCCTAAACTTTTAGCCATCTAATTTTCACTTTCCATTCTCTCCAAAATGCTGCAGATGTTAGTGACCATCTTTGCACTTTCTGCAATATCAGAACTAAACTTCCATCAGTTTGTACCCAGTTTGCATTCCAAAAATTTAATCAAATCATGAGGGGCATGGATAGAGTGAATAGCCAAGGTGTTATTCCCAAGGTCAGGGGAGTCCAAAACTAGAGGGCATACATTTAAGGTGAGATGGGAAAGATTTAAAAGGGACCTAACGTGCAACTTTTTCACACAGAGGGTGGGGCGTGTATGGAATGAGCTGCCAGAGGAAGTGGTGGAGGCTGGTATAATTACAACATTTAAAAGGCATCTGAATGGGTACATGAATCGGAAGGGTTTAGTGGGATATGGACCAAATGCTGGCAAATGGGACTAGATTAGTTTAGGATATGGATAAGTTGGACTGAAGGGTCTGTTCCTGTGCTGTACAACTCTGTGAGTCTTTGAGAGGCACGGACAGCTAAAACAGCAGCATTGTAGCTCAACAACATTCTCATTTTCTTTATCACTTTTAGCTGACTATTTGCCGAACTCAAACCGTTACCAGCCCAAACTTCTAAAGTTTTAAGTTATGTAAGGGTCAAGCACCCAAGTCAGGACTGGAATGTTTCCAGTAAACCATTCCAGACCATAGAGAGATAGAGGGACAAAGCTAAATGACACAGATTTGGGACTGTTCACTGGACTTTCTCTCCCCACAGATGCTGAATTTCTCCAGCACTTTCTGTTGGTTTTCAATTCAGGACATGACTGGATACAAGTGGTTGTGAGGCTCTATTGGACACTGTTGGATCGCGAGACTGGAGCAGAGATCAAGTTGATAGGAAGGAAACAGCAGAATGTTCCAAAATATGCTGGATATAGGAACAGGGAGAGGGGCAAAAAACAGACAGGTCAACAACAAGGGAGCAGAGCCACCCCATTCCCACTCTGATGGGAAGCTTGGAATTGGGGGTGGGGACAATCTTGTACATTAAACCGCCCAATCCCCAATATCCGGGAGCCCCACCCAGCCTCCTTCCTGACACTCGCGTTTCTAACACCAAAAGTTTTTAATGCCAATGCTTAAACTCAAAAGCTAATGGGGAGCCAGCAAAGGACTGCAGACAAAGTCTGTGTTTTGAGTTCAAGCTGAGCAATGCAGAAGGCCAGGGTCAGCTTGAGAGAGAGAGACAGGCAAAAACAGGGAGTTGGGGGGGCGTGGGGTCAGAACAGTGCCCCCAGTATATAGGCACCTTGCTCCTGTGAGAATTCGCAAAGACCAAAATGGCATTTACCAGCATTTTTTTTTTGGGATGAAGAGTAAATGGCTGTTTAAAAGCGCAAGACTATCATTCATTGCTAAACATGCTCCAGTTTCAACTGAGAATCACTTATTCTATAAGATCGTCCATCCCCACCCTTGCCTGAGTCAATCTGCTTCCGATAGCCTCAGGCATGACTCCAGACTTAAAAATTCCAATACTCTCTTGAACTTTGGCTGTCTACCTTCAACTCATCCAGAGCTCTCCCGCCCAAAGTCTCTCTCGCACCAAATCCTACTCACCAGTCACTCCAGCCTCCAGAACTACAAATGGCTTCTCTGACAACTCAAATTTAAAAGCCCCACCCTGTGTAACCTCCTCCAACCTCACATGCTACTCCACCCTGAAGACAACTCTCCTGTAACCTCCTCAGGAGCCATTTGCTGCAATTCAGCGATGGGAAGTGTATTCAGGAGTTTTCCTACACTGAAGGCCGTTTTCCAAATGCAAATTGTGTTTTATCAGACTGCTGTAAGACTCTCAGGATGACATGGTCTCTGAGGCAATGGTGTAGTGTTTCTGGCAGTGGTAGCCCAATATCCCAGCTCATGGGCAGTTACCCCACTCCCCCAGCACATGGGCAGTTACCCCACTCCCCCAGCACATGGGCAGTTACCCCCACTCCCCCAGCTCATGGGCAGTTACCCCCAATATCCCAGCACATAGGTAGTTACCCCACTCCCCCAGCACATGGGCAGTTACCCCCAATATCCCAGCACATGGGCAGTTACCCCACTCCCCCAGCACATAGGCAGTTACCCCACTCCCCCACCTCACTGAGCATTCCCAGTCAAACAAAGTCTTTACAACAACTGAGGAGTCAAAAAGACAATCGTAGCAATACCATAAGACACACATAGCCTCTGCTATAGACAAGAAGCTCTTGATTAATTGAAACTATGGGGCAATCTTACAGTCACTAACACACCGGATTTGTTACTTAAGCTCTGCGCGGTGCAGACGAAACATAGTTAATCACTGGCACTAATCCAGAAGGTGCAGCCTTCCCAACATAACTGAAATCACATATTTTACATTTCACAATGACAGAACCAAGAGCAATCAGTTAGCTTGCACATTTTTCAAAAGTCTTCAACTGATCAAAAAATTACAACTTAAAAAGTTTGAGCTGTTTACACACTCAATAACAGTCTAGCCAAATCAATAAATGCTGTTTTTTTAATCCTTTTGTGACGATGCTGCATAATTCACCCTGGATTCAATTGTAACAGGGGACAGAATGACAGACTTACCAGCCGCTCAGGCCTTGAATAAGAACTAACTTCACTCCAGCTCCAGGGTGTGGTTTTTAAGTACCAGCTGATTGCAGCCACATCAACACTGTTTCCCCACCCCTCCAACACCCAGCCCTATCCACAGCACCAAAACCATTCCTTTCTCATCGAACGAAGAATCCTTGAGACAGTCTAAAAAGTCCAAACTAACACAATCTCTGCAGTAAATGCTGCCTGAAAGGTGGGATATGTACTTCCCATAAAATACAAACAATCCCACTGATGTGATTTGACAGGTCAGTATTAATCAATTTGCAGCAACTTCTCTGATGACAACAGCTCACATTCATTTTCTCCTGTTCTTCCCCCCATTCTTTTTAGATTTTTTGCTGAACTCCTCACTATTTCAATAGTTTTGACAATCTCAACCAGTTGCTCTGACTGTGTCTGAGTTACTCTCCATATCCACAGTTCAGTCGTAAAACCACAAGAGTGTTGCTCACGGCTGTAACTTCAGGGAGGGGGAGGAAATGACAGTGAGTGTTCCCACCACTCAATGTGCCAAACATTACTTCCATCCTCAGACCCAAATAAGCCCCAATGACATCTGTTTGGCTTAAAAAAATAGAATTCTACCTACTTTCCTGCAGCAATCAGGAGTGCAAAGCTGATATCCTTAGCTCGTACATAACTTCAAAAGTCAACTTGGTGCAGTTTTGAATCTAAAAACTTGTTTTAGCTGAGCTTGGGAGGTTTATTGGGATAAGTCAGTGTTTAAAGGGATAGGCTACAGATACTTAAACTCAGAACAAGGATAGTGTGATATGTCAAACAGCAAATTCCAAAAAACATGAAATTCATAAAATAATCCTTCAGACTTCCCTTTGTGATTCAGGTCCTTTTAAACAGTTTACTTTCCTGTTCCCAATTCCTTCGCCTCCGCTGCATCTGCTCCCGAGATGAGGCATTCCACTCCCGGACATCCCAAATGCCCTCGTATTTCCAGGACCGCAACTTTCCCCTCCACAGTGGTCAAAAACGCCCTCGACTGCATCTCTTGCGTTTCCCGCAACTCAGCCCTCACACCCGCTCCCCACAATAACAACAAAGACAGAATCCCCCTTGTGCTCACGTACCACCCCATTAACCTCCGGATTCAACGCATCATCCTCGGCCACTTCCGCCATCTGCAATCTGACCCCACTACCAACGATATATTTCCCTCCCCACCCTTATCTGCTTTCCGGAGGGACCACTC